TGGAGAAGGGAATGGCACCCCACTCCAGTATTCTTGCTTGGGAAATCCCATGGACAGAGGAGCCTGGTGGGCTACAGTCCATAGGGTTGCAAAGAGTCGGACACGACTGAGGCCCACGCTGGCTTTATAACAAGACCATGTTTTAGCATGCTTGATTCTCACAGCAGCCTATGAGGTTTTTAGTACTGTTTCCTCCTTGTATAGATGATGAAATGGAAGCCTAAAGTGAAGTAACTTTCCCTATTTTCAAAAGTAATGAGTGATTGGGCTGGAATCCAAACCTCTGCAGTTGGGCTTTAGGGATCTTACTGTTGACCCAACGGCCTTGTATTTGATACAAGGAGATGTGGGAAAACTGACAACAATATAAGTCTGAGGAGAAAGAAGACCTAAGACTCTTGAATTTAAAAGATTAATGTGGAAGGTTCAAAATTAGAATTCACTTATTTACTTCTTAGAAAAGTCTGTTTTTTAAGAATTCTAGCATGTTCTACAAGTATCAGTATGTTTCTAAACCTCAAATGTTTGAAGACAGTTGAATGCATCCTAAAATAGTTAATAATTTAGTAAATTATTTTTTCTTAAAAGGAGCCTGAGAAGAGCATGCTTTAGTCTGTACTGTAGTGAAAGTAATAAATAATGCATGAGCAATATTGCTGGCAGACCCAAAGAGGGTTTTTTTCCCTCTTGGGTGTGAAGCTCAAGCTAAAATTTAACACACTTTCTCTGCTCTCAAAGCTTTTTCTTTTTCAATATCTTCCATGCTGAAAGATTGGCTCTACCTTTCATATATTCATCTGAGAATACTACTTTATCATCTTGTATGTCTCTCTTTCCTTTGTTCCTTCACTATCACATTGATTCTATATCTTAAATTTATTTTAAACAGGATCCCTCCTTTTTATCTCAATGGACATTGCCTTTGTTGGAATTGCCATTTTTTTTTCCTGAGTAAATACAATTGCTTCCTAATTTGTCTCACTGTACTTAGTCCTCCTTCCAGTCCAGTTCAATTCATTTTTCTCACTACAATCAGAAAAATCTTTTCAAAATCCAAATATCATTGTTTCCCAGCATAAAGTCCAAAGTCTTTATGGTGACTTTACAGGACTTTCAACCTGGCTTCTGCACACATCTCTAGTTCCAATCCCTACTGTTCTTTATCACTACCTTATAATTCAGTCACACCAAATTATTTGCATTTCTTCAAGCATGCCAAGTTGTTCCATGCCTTCAAGCCTTTGTGCATAGTATTCCTTGAAATAGCCTTTCTTAAAATTACTAACACTCTAAATTATTCCTACTTTATAATCATATATGACAATTTATCAAGTCTTATTTCTTTCTTTGGCACTCCTGTGGTGGTAGCTGCCACCTTTGTAGTATTTAGCACGTTGAAGTTCAGCTGTTTACTTGTGTATCATTTCTAGATTGTGAGGGATTGGGACAGGGAATATGTCTCATCATTCTAGAAAAATCCCTGAGCACCTTCTCTGAGGACATTTTTCAGGCTACTGATTGTTTAACAGCTAATGGTTTCACGTATTAAGGATTATAGATATACTTGTAGACTACATATTATATGAAGCTAGAGAAATCTAAATTCTAATTTTTTGTGGAAGTTTTCTCTGCTGCCCAAAATCAAGCTGAATAACTAACAGTAATGGTAACCTCTGTTTTGCTCCTTTACTCTCAACACTTCTCACACCAGATGCGTGGGGTTTTGCCCACATGAGATCATTCTTCAACCAGCTGGATGTCTTACCATTCAGTTCTGTTCTGGCACTATCTTCCTGGACTTAGTGGCAGATCTCACAGGTTAAGGGCTCAGTCCTGGGAGAGGCCAGTTGCAAGTCCACAAATTACCTACACTTCTGACTGATCAGCTGTCAATCAGAGGTTTGTGGAACGCCCTCAGATTCTGTCATTTGCTAGAATGGGTCATAGAACTCAGAAATTATTACTATTGCTGATTTATTGCAAAGTGTATTTCAAAAGATACAAATGAACAGCCAGATGAAAGAGGCGTGTAGGGCGACGGGTGAGAGAGGAGGCCCAGAGCTGGCACGAGCTCTCCAGGCCTGCCACCGACCCAGCACCGCCTTGTGTTCACCAAAGCTGAAGCTCACCAAACCTTTTGCTTTAAGAGTTTTTAAAGAGCTCAGTCTCCAATGCCTGTCCCCTTCCTGTCAGTGGGTGGGGCTGAAAGGTCTAACTCTGATCTCTTGGTCTATCTAGGAGTTCCGCTCAAAGTCAGCTGTTAGCACAAACCCAAATGTGGTCAAAAGGGACCCCTTATGAATAATACTCAGGAAAAATCACTCCATAAATTGTAAGAGTTTTAGCAGATCTGTGCCAGGAAAAATACCAAATATGTTCTCTATTATACCACAACACATCTGGCTATTTTCTGGTCATTCTCATTGTGTCATATTAGCATCAGAAGAAAGAAAAGCAGGAATCTAAATCAAGTTGCTGCTTAAACAACAAAGCATCTTGACTGAATAAGGGGGAGGACTTGGGGGTTGTGGTCCGTGTACGTCAATGCAAAGTAGAGAGGAATCAACATCACTGAACACCTGTGTGTGTGTTAATCACTCAGTCGTGTTCAACTCTGTGTGACCCCATGGACTTCCACCAGGTACCTCTGTCCATAGAATTCTCCAAGCAAGAATACTGGAGTGGGTAGCCATTACCTTCTCCTGGTTGAATGCCCAGGACAGGCCAAACAGGTTTTCATTTAGTATCACATTTAATACTTGGAAAAGTGTTGTCTCTGCATACCACTTGAGAGTTTCAGAGGTACTTGGTGAGTTGCCTCAAGTTGTAAATATAACAGTAAGACTCAAGTCCAGAACTTTGATGGCCATGTACATATATATGCCATCAAGCACTTACCAAAAGAGTTCTCTTAAGAAAGCCTTAAGTCTGATGTCCAATTCTTCTCTTTATTCTCACTGGCTGGCACAATGACTGACACATTATCAGTGTTCATTGACTGTCCAGAGGCTAAATTAGCAAACAGAAATTGTGCAATTTACAAGAAAACTTCCTTTGGTCCGATTTTTTCAAAGAGATCTCTGAACACAATTTCTATTCTCATGTATTCCATTATAAACCTAATCTCGGATCCAGCAAAGAAGAAATTGATGTGCTGATTTCATCAATTGATTCTGTAGAATTTGTCTTTCAGAATGAGGTTGTCCTTACATAATATATCAGTATGTTTCTCCTGTCTCACAACCCGGACTGCAGTCCAAGTGGGTATGAGTCTGTGAAGATAGATTGTAACTGAGCAATACTTTTATCCAAGACTGTTTACTGCTCATAGTCATTGAAAACGTCCCCTCTTAGCAGACAACCAGTAAGTATTTTGTGACTTGAGCAGCCTTATTCCTATCCTTTCATTATGTTTAATAGATCAGTTGCATTTTCCTATTTCTTTGTTCAGTTTACCAATTTTATTTTTAATTAATTTTTATTTAAGGAAAATACATCCTCAAGGCATGCATACCTTGAGGGCATGCCGACCCAAAAGACAGGAAGAGAAGAGAGGCCCAATTTTGGTTCCTCTTTTTATAAGTTTTTTTCTCCTCCCCGTGGGCCTGCCCTATGTAAATTGGGCTAGCCAGGAGTGCTGTTTGTTCTACCTGAGGTCCTCACTCAGGTTCTCAGAGCTTCCTTTGTTCTATTTTCATGGGCTTTTCCCTTCCTTATCTTTTAACCACCACCATTCTGGACTCCTTTTTCCTATTCTAACTACCTAACAGAATGAAAGTATAAAGTTCCTTGTAGATAAAGCAGGGAAAAGTGTGATTGTACTAAAATATAAAGTGTATTTCTTTAAAACATTTTATCTGAAAAACTTAGGGTGATAGATGAGTAAACACAAACTTACCAACAGTGTGTGTTAGTTTCTTTTTTTCATGAGGGTATGCAACCATATCTCATGCAGTGTGAATTATTTCCCTGGTGACCAATGAATGCCTGACTCCCTGGTGTCTCAGCAGTAAAGAACCCAACTGCAAAGCAGGAGACTTGGATTCTATCCCTGGGTGGGGAAGGTCCCTTGGAGGAGGAAATGGCAGCCCACTCCAGTATTCTTGCCTGGAAAATCCCATGGACAGAGGAGCCTGGTGGCCTACAGTCCATAGGGTCTCAAAAGAGTCAGACACGACTGAGTGACTAACAACAACAATTTTTATTGGAATATAGTTGAGTTACAATGTTGTCTTAGTTCCTGCTATATAGCAAAGTGAATCAGTTATACATATACATATATCCACTCTTTTTTAGATCCTTTTCCCATAAAGATCAGTACAGAGTATTGAGTAGAGGTCCTTGTGCTATATGGTAAGTCCTTATTAGTTATGTATTTTATATATAATAGTGTGACTATGTTAATCCCAGTCTCCCAATTTATCCCCCTTTGGTAACCGTAAGCTTGTTTTCTATAACTGTGACTCTATTTCTGTTTTGTAAACAAGTTAATTTTTACTATTATTTTTTTAGATTACACATACAAGTGATACCATATGGTATTTGTCTTTCTTTGTCTGACTTACTTTACCCAGTAGGACAATCTCTAGGTTCATCCATGTCACTGTAAATGGCATTATTTCATTTGTATTTATGGCTGAGTATGAGTTTACTGATTTTAGCATAATTATACCCAAACTCGATTTCTTTCTTGACCTAATTCTTCTTTTATTACTTTTCTTTTTCTAGATAACAAAAATCTCTGTTGAACATTTTTTCAAACCAAACCTGTATATATTATAAAACTTTCTTCCCAGCATATGAAAAATACATAAATGGTTTAACAGAACCAAGCATTATTTAGCTGACAGATAAGAGCCCTGTGGAATAAGCCATGATACCATACGTTAATTAATAAATAGAGTTTTTATCCTTCTTTCCCTTTTTGACTGAAGTAAATGCACTCCCTTGGTATTGGTTTGTTCACACCAGGCCACCATATTTATTCTGCTTTGTTACAGAAACTCCACTTACTGTATGAAAGTATCCATCTCACTGACAGTAGGCGAAAATGACACTGGACTCTGCTACAATTCCAAGATGAAGTACTTTGATAAAGCTGAACTTAGCAAAAGCAAGGAAATTGCCTGCCGTGACATAGAAGACTTTTTGCTACCAAGCAGAGAACCTGAAATACTGTGGTATAAGGTATGGACTATGAATGATTTTATTGCTCATAAATAGATTCATGTGTATCTTATAGGGCAAGTTGGATAAAAACTATTAATGGGTGTTCTGTAGTTCAGTTCTCCCTTTATAAAATACTACAGCAAGTTGTGCTGGTCATTGTAAGTTTTTAAACCAGTGATTTTGAAAATCCTAGTCAATATTTATATGGTAGTCCACTGTAGTAAGCTATTATGTGAATGTTTAGATATAATTTATGCTGATAATCATTTAAATTCTATTATAATCTGTGTTGATAATTTCAAGAACTGAAATATGTCAAGCATTCATTTCAAAGCACTTGTATAAGCAGTCTAAAATATCCTCACACAGCAGAGAAAGGATTGACTTGCTTCTGTGATAAAATTGTATACCAGTTTTATTGAAATATTCTGTTTAATGTAAGTATCTTTGTGCATATTCTAATCCTTTTCATATAAAAGTATACATATTTTTGAAAACCTGATGAAAATGTATAACATTATAAAAAAAAGTGCTAGATTAACTTTTTTTTTTTCAAAAACCAAAAGAAAATTTAGCCTTAAACAGAATAGTCAGATGCTGTTCTCACTGTCACATCATTGAGTGAACTTCAGGATCTGAACATATTCTTTAACTAATTTATGTCATAAAAGATAGTTTTGTTATTGAACATACTTAAGAAAATACAGTATACAGGCTGTGAAAATTTGTCTGGAATATTTTATCCATGGTTTAAAGATTCCTAGTATAAACTTTGTTTTGTCCAGCTAACTGGAAATAGGAATGTAGGAAGCTGGAGCTTTTAATAACTAGATTCACAAATATCAGTATAAAGAAGGTGAGTCCTTAGGACTGATAGCTTTTGAATTCCAGACTTGTTAGAAATGAAATAGGAAATACATCTTTCAGTTCAGCGCAGTCGCTCAGTTGTGTCCAACTGTTTGCGACCCCATGAACCGCAGCACGCCAGGCCTCCCTGTCCATCAACAACTCCCAGAGTCCACCCAAACTCACGTCCACTGAGTCAGTGATGCCATCCAGCCATCTCACCCTCTGTCATCCCCTTCTCCTCCTGCCCTCAATCTTTCCCAGCATCACTGTCTTTTCAAATGAGCCAGCTCTTCGCATCAGGTGGCCAAAGTATTGAAGTTTCAGCTTCAACATCAGTCCTTCCCATGAACACCCAGGACTGATCTCCTTTAGGATGGACTGGTTGGATCTCCTTGAAGTCCAAGGGACTCTCAAGAGTCTTCTCCAACATCACAGCGCAAAAGCATCAATTCTTCGGCGCTCAGCTTTCTTTATAGTCCAACTCTCACATCCATACATGACCACTGGAAAAACCATAGCCTTGACTAGATGGACCTTTGTTGACAAAGTAATGTCTCTGCTTTTTAATATGCTGTCTAGGTTGGTCATAACTTTGCTTCCAAGGAGTAAGCGTCTTTTAATTTCATGGCTGCAATCTCCATCTGCAGTGATTTTGGAACCCCCAAAAATAGTCAGCCACTGTTTCCACTGTTTCTCCATCTATTTGCCATGAAGTGATGGGACCAGATGCCATGATCTTAGTTTTCTGAATGTTGAGCTGTAAGCCAACTTTTTCACTCTCCTCTTTCACTTTCATCAAGAGGCTCTTTAGTTCTTCTTCACTTTCTGCCACAACGGTGGTGTCATCTGCATATCTGAGGTTATTGATATTCCTCCCGGCAATCTTGTTTCCAGCTTGTCCTTCTTCCAGCCCAGCGTTTCTCATGATGCACTCTGCATATAAGTTAAATAATCAGGGTGACAATATACAGCCTTGACGTACTCCTTTTCCTGTTTGGAACCAGTCTGTTGTTCCATGTCCAGTTCTAACTGTTGTTTCCTGACCTGCATACAGGTTTCTCAAGAGGCAGGTCAGGTGGTCTGGTATTCCCATCTCTTTCAGTATTTTCCACAGTTTATTGTGGTCTACACAGTCAAAGGCTTTGTCATAGTCAATAAGGCAGAAATACACGTTTTTCTGGAACTCTCTTGCTTTTTCAATGATCCGGCGGATGTTGGCAATTTGATCTGTGGTTCCTCTGCCTTTTCTAAAGCCAGATTGAACATCTGGAAGTTCGTGGTTCATGTATTGATGAAGCCTGGCTTAGAGAATTTTTAGCATTATTTTGCTACCGTGTGAGATGTGTGCAATTGTGTGCTAGTTTGAGCTTTCTTTGGCATTGCCTTTCTTTGGGATTGGAATGAAAACTGATACATCTTTAGTAATCTTTAAAGAGTTTTTCCAATATTAGCAATACCCTTCTCTGAATGACTTACTTTCATTCTTGATTATAAACAATGAAGGAGGATTCAGAACATCAAGGGAACTGTTGAAATAGTTTTTTACTTTTCCCTTGGATTTCTGTCTTGGACAATGTTAAATAGCCTTAAAATTAGCCCCACTCTTTCTGTTTCTGTGCATCTGGGCTATGTATTTTATGTGTCTTAATTGTATGACTATTTCTAACCCTGATTTTATGAAGTTTGCTTGCTTTCCATAGGAAGATTCTAAGCAAGCCCTGATTTTTTCCTCAAAAAGAAGGGATATTAGGAGAGTTTGACCCGAAGTCTTCAATTACAAATATTTTTTCATGTGTACATTCAACTCCTAGATACTCAATTTCTTTGTTGTTTGCTAAGAAGTTCATCCTGGAGCAGGAAATGGCAATCCACTCCAGTAGTCTTGCCTGGAAAATTCCATGGGCAGAAGAGCCTGGCAGGCTATAGTCTATGGGGTTGCAAAGAGTCAGACAGAACTGAGCACGAACTTGCACACATAAGAAGTTGATCTTGAGAGTTACACACTTTTTCTCATTTTTTTGCAAATAGTAGCTCAGAATTTGCTGAAATATTAGAGACTACACACACATGCATACACCTATCCCCCACACAGAGTCTTACATTCAGTTTTTTAAATGACTAGCCTCATATTGGTCCTTTAGTCGTGTTTCCACCATCTCCCCAGTCATTGTGACCTTTTGCTAGATAGACCATAACTAGTGAAGTGATGGGTGAAGATGCAGTATATCTAGAATTTAAAGAAGTCTTCATATTATTTTTCCACAGTCAAGGGAACATTTAGTGCATAATTCACAGTTTATACAACCAATATGAGGATATTAAATGTGTACTTTGCACTGAAATAGCCAGATAATTGTGCCCCAGTTACACACAGGCATTGAGACGCATCATCAAAACAATGGTCTGTATAGATTTGATTTGCCAATAAATTTTTAAAAAGATATGACTTCTGGATAGTGTTAGAAGGTTTAAAGCTATTTTATCCTCATTCCATTGATTTCTAATCTGGCTAGAGAAAATGGACTTCAATTTCTCAAAAACAGAAATCTCCTGAGCCAACATCATAATAATCCAAAACTTAAATCAGAGACCATAATTTGGTATTAACAATGAAAATTGGTATTATGGAACTATGAAGATCTTGCATAAAAATGATGGCCATTTCCTCCATCCATTGCAGAATATATATGCTATGAAAAGATCAAATTATTTCTAAATGTGACATTAAAAGATTTAAAATATTGAATTAAAGCATTTTTCTCCATAGTTATTTTCTACTTTCCACTAAAAAATTCATTTTATGTTTTATGTTATTAGTATCAAGGTAGTTAATTTCATAAAAATCAAATGTAAAATATTTTCTTCTAAAAGTGCTACCAAAAGTAATCTTAATAAATGTTCCTTTTATTATATCTAATAAATCAACACATATATATCTGATTTAGAGACACTAATCTTATGCATTAATAAAGTGAATCTTAAGTACTTTTTTCCAAATTGAGAACCTGGTTTCCTGGAAATATGGAAAAGGTTTGAAAATCTTTAGCATTAATTCCAAAATCTTCAGCATTTTTAACATATAACTTTAGAAGTTTTAGTTTAGTCATTTTAAATATTTTATTTTTAAGTCACTGTATATACTATAAAAATTCTATATTCTTCATGTAGGAATGTAGGACAAAAACATGGAGGCCAAGTATAGTATTCAAAAGAGATACGCTGCTTATAAGAGAAGTCAGAGAAGATGACATTGGAAATTATACATGTGAGTTAAAATATGGAGGCTTTGTTGTGAGAAGAACTACTGAACTAACTGTTACAGGTAAGTTCAGTCTTCAGTATTTCACTTGCAAGTAATGAAACTAACATTTTAAGTTTCACTTTTGTGCTTCATATTGATTTTTTCAAATCTTTGCAGTGAAAGAACCACTTAACCAAATGCTAAATGTATTCCTATAGGTGAAGTTTATTCCTTCTTGTTTTCAAATCATATTGCCCTGAAATGCATTTGAAAGGTTAAAGAAAATAGGCTTAGGGGATTATAGAAATGTTAGCTTTTGAAAGTGCTTGAAATAATGAGTATACAATTTCAGAAAATTATGCTTATATTTTGTAGTGGTGTCATTTTTGGAAACATTTCCTAGAATGTTGAAATGGAATATATGAAATTTACCTCGATCTTCCTGTCTTGTTCCAAATTAGAAACATTACTTTTTTATTCATGTATCACTCTGTGAACTTGACACATGTGCTCATGAACTTGAATATAACAAAATATCACATGCAATGTTTGAATGATTATGTGAGATGCATTGCATGGTCTCATTCCTGTATCTGGTGACTAAGGTAGAAGGGCATGAGAGCAAAATTCAGGACAGTCTGTAATCACAGACCTACAACTCACTAGTCATGTGATAATTTTAATCACCACAACCTTCAGAATATCAATTTCCTCATGTGTAAAATGGTGATGATAAAGTTTGCCTTGTTTATTTCATAGGATTTTTGCAAGGATTGAATGAAGTAAGCTAATATGTATGAAATCCATTAGCAAAATATAGAATTACATACAAATATGCATAATTTTTGTCATTTTAAATGATATATTTTAAATAATGTATTCATCCCTCATTTAATGTTATTGTGTACTTCTCTCAAAGTGCCTCCAACAGATAAAGCGGGGGGATCAAAAATCAATGCTTCCATCAGTTAAAGACATTATTCTCATCTTATTAAGAGAGATTCTTAATAAGTGATATCTCTGCTTTTTAATATGCTGTCTAGGTTTGGCATAGCTTTCCTTCCAAGGAGCAAGCGTCTTTTTTATTTCATGGCAACAACCACCATCCACAGTGATTTTGAAGCCCAAGAAAATTAAATCTGTCATGGCTTCCAGTCTTTCCCCTTCTGTTTGCCCTGAAGTAATGGGACCGGATGCCGTGATCTTAGTTTTTTGAATGTTGAGTTGTAAGCCAACTTTTTCACTCTCCTTTTTCATCTTCAAGAGGCTCTTTAGTTCCTCTTTGCTTGCTCCTGTTAGAGTGGTGTCATCTGCATATCTGTGGCTCTCAGTATTTTCCCCATCAATCTTGATCCCAGCTTTTGATTCATCCAGCCTGGCATTTCTCATGATGTACTCTGCATATAAGTTAAATAAGCAGGGTGACAATATACAGCCTTGACGTACTCCTTTCCCAATTTGGAACCATTCTGTTGTTCCATGTCTGGTTCTAACTGTTGCTTTTTGACCTGCGTACAGGTTTCTCAGGAGGCAGGTAAGGTGGTCTAGTATTCCCATCTCTTTAAGAATTTTCCAGTTTGTCGTGATCCACACAGTCAAAGGCTTTGGCATAGTCAATGAAGCAGAAGTAAATGCTTTTCTGGAATCCCCTCAATTTCTCTGTGATCCAACGGATGTTGGCAATTTGATGTATGGTTCTGTGCCTTTGCTGCACCCAACTGTACATCTGGAAGTTCTTGGTTCACGTACTGCTGAAACCTAGCTTGAAGGATTTTGAGCATTACTTTACTAGCATGTGAAATGAGAGCAAATGTGAAATAGTTTGAACATTCTTTGGTATTGCCCATCTTTGGAATTGAAATGAAAACTGACATTTTCCAGTCCTGTGGCCACTGTTGAGTTTTCCAAATTTGCTGGCATATTGAGTGCAGCACTTTCACTGCATCATCTTTTAGGATTTGAAATAGCTCAACTGGAATTCCATCACCTCCACTAGCTTTGTTTGTAGTAATGCTTCCTTAGGTCCACTTGACCTCACACTCCAGGATGTCTGGCTCTAGGTCAGTGACACACCATCTTGGTTATCTGGGTCATTAAGGCCTTTTTTGTACAGTTCTTCTGTGTTTTCTTGCTACCTCTTCTTAATCTCTTCTGCTTCTATTAGGTCCTTGTCATTTCTGTCCTTTGTCATGTCCATCCTTAAACAAAATATTCCCTTGACATCTCTAATTTTCTTGAAGAGATCTTTAGTCTCTCATTCTATTGTTTTCCTCTGTTTCTCTGCATTGTTTACTTAAGAATGCTTTCTTATCTTCCCTTGCTATTCTCTGGTACTCTGCATTCTGTTTGGGTATATCTTTCCCTTTCTCCCTTATCTTTTGCTTCTCTCTTCTCTCAGTTATTTTTAAAGGCTCCTCAGACAACCTCTTTGCCTTTTTGCATTTCTTTTTCTTTAGGATAGTTTTGATCATTGCCTCCTGTACAGTTATGAATCTCCACCCATAGTTTTTCAGATATTCTGTCTACCAGATCTAATGCCTTGAATCTATTAATTACCTCCACTATATAATCATAAGGGATTTGATTTAGGTCATACCTGAATAGCCTCGTGGTTTTCCCTACTTTATTCAGTTTAAGCCTGAATTTTGCAATAAGAAGTTCATGATCTGAGCCATAGTTGGCTCCAGGTCTTGTTTCTGCTGACTGTATAGAGCTTCTCCATCTTCGGCTCCAAAGACTATAATCAATCTGATTTCAGCATTGACCATCTGGTGATGTACATGTATAGAGTTATCTCTTGTGTTGTTGGAAGAGGGTGTTTGCTATGACCAGTGTGTTCTGTTGACAAAACCCTGCTAACCTTTGCCCTGCTTCATTTTGTACTCCAAGGCCAAACTTGCCTGTTATTCCAGCTATCTCTTGATGTCCTACTTTTGCATTCCAGTCCCCTGTGATGAAAAGATATCTTGTTTTGGTGTTAGTTCTAGAAAGTCTTGTAGTCGAACTGTTCAACTTCAGCTTCTTCAGCATTAGTGGTTGGGGCATAGACTTGGATTACTGTGATGTTGAATGGTTTGCCTTGGAAATGAATCAAGATCATTCTGTCATTTTTGAGATTGCACACAAGTACTGCATTTCGTGCTCTTTTGTGGGCCATGAGGGCTACTCCATTTTTTCTGAGGGATTCTTGCCCACAGTAGTAGATATAATGGTCATCTGAATTAAATTTGCCCATTCCCATCCATTTTAGTTCACCGATTCCTAAGATTTCGATGTTCACGCTTGCCATCTCCTGTTTGACCACATTCAGTTTACCTTGATTCATGGACCTAACATTCCAGGTTCCTGTGCAGTATTATTCTTAACAGCATCAAACTCCCTGTATATGAAAAGTATTTTGTGGCAGTCACTTTCATCTTTTAATAACCATCTTTCAATCTTGAAATTTTGATTAGTTTGACTTAAAAACAAAATTTGATATCATGAAATTCATTTGATGGCTGTAAGTATTTTGATTGAAAGGAAATTTAGTTAAATCAGATACTCTTTGGTGATGCCTTTGAGAAATATTAGACCGAGAAGATAACTGACAGTAGCAATACATGTTACGTTTAAATAGTAACCACACATTTAATCATGTATTATGTACCTATGATGTACACATGTATGATTTGCACTCACTTGGTTTTCAGTTTTGTCACGTTAATAGGCTTTTGTATAGAAAATTAAAATTTACCCTTTTGTCACTTTACCTCCCTGTTTAATGGAACAGTGAAAAATACAACTATCTATACTTGGATTTTCTTTACAATAAATATTAAATATATTATTTTTTCTTTTTTGCTATTAATGTATACTGAAGTAGCTTTTCAAGGAGTAAGTACTGAGACAAAGAAATGTAAAAGTATAATGAAAACTATCTATTCTGAAAAGGGAATAGAATGACCTTGTAGTCTTTATTCTTTGGGATGTAGAACTAATCTTCAGTAAACACATCTTTCCCCTTTCTAGAAACATTTGGTTACTGAAACACTATCTAGTAAGAGGAGATTGGGAACAGTCTCCTAGAGATTGGAAACTGGGTCCCAACAAGTAAAATGATATAAATGAGGCTATTTTGTACAATTAATAATATAATTGTTTTCTCCTAAATGCTAACCAGGGCTGTTATATTTTTGTGCATTCATTTTGCCAAAAATATCTCCTTTTCTTTATGGAAAAAGGAGGAATAATTACCTCTTGATATCCAAAAGAAAGTTAAAGTTTCAATGAAAATTTTCATCCAGCTGATTATTATCATTACCTCTAACTTAAGTAGATCTACGTGTGACATTGATTTGGGAAAGTACAATATAAAGCAAAACTAAATTATATATGAAATTTTGGTTGAATCCTAGAACTGCATATTCCAGAATCAAAATAATATGTATTAAAATGCATTTTAGAGTTTAACAAGAAGTCTATTGATAGGATATACTTATGCATGACATTACTTCAAATAGTATTACTCTATAGCCCATTTAGGATTCCCTGGTGTCTCAGTGGTAAAGAATCTGCCTGCAATGCAGGTGACTCAGGTTCGATCCCTGGGTCAGGAAGCTCCCCTGAGGAAGGGCATAGCTACCCACTCCAGTATTCTTGCCTGGAGAATTCCATGGACAGAAGAGCCTGGTGGGCTACAGTCTGTGGGTTGAAAGGAGTCGGACACAACTGAGCAACTGTCACTTTTCACTCTATAGCTCATTTACTTTGCCTGTGGCCAAATTGAAGAGTAATTCTTAGAACCCAAGTTTAACTCTCAATATAATAACAAAGGTGAGCATTTCTCTGCATGATAATTAATCACTATTTTGTATCTTGGTTTTATGTACATCATGATCATATTTTAGTTAATGTAAATCTTGTGCAAAGCATGGTATCATTTAATTTTAGTGGATCTGCCTTAGGTGATAACATGCATTTTGAAGTGTGTTAGACTGTTTCTTTAAAATAAAACAAAAGAGTCCTATATGTGAAAAGAAAAGGAAACATGGGGATAAGTAAAGTCACATTGTACAGGTCATATTGTAAGCTTTTATGGG